TGCTGGTGGTCAAGGTCATCTGCGGGCCTCGTTGCTGTCCGGCCGTCTCGTTCCTTGAGCCACCTCTCTCTCCAGGCCTCCTCTATGACTCTGTCCGTGTCGGAGCACCGTAAAGTTGAATCGTCCAATACTCATGTACGTACCCACTACCTAGTCTATACCTACCTAGCTAGTGAGGCAGACTTCCCAAGTCAACCTAAAACCCAGCGGCGTACGCTACAAGATTAAAAGCCAACGCCAGCATTATGGGAAGGCCGGGCAAGAGCAACGCAAGACCGCAGGTTCTTCCGGCTCCTCACAGTTCAGAGTTCGACAACCAAGGTGATGGAAAGCTTCGGTGCGTACGCCAAATCAATGCATTCTCTTCCCTATGTAAAGAAGTCTCTCTCTATAATGTTAACGGCGATGACAAATAACCCCACAAACCCATGGGGGTCATGACGTGTCTTTGCAAACTCCGCTAAACAAAAGGAAGCTCACTGCATTTGGATAACCAGTGCATACCTAACCACAAACAGCAATAGCAAGCGACTTGGCATGATAATCCTCAGCTATCACTAGAATACCTCAGGGATATGCAGCGGTTCGGACTCGAGTCACATCTGAGCAGGCCCAACCACGGAAGCGGAACCTGTGCGAGCCCCTGATATGGTACTCATGGTTATGTGCCCGGTGTTGTTTATCTAACCTGCGCTCCCCCAAATCCTGGTGTCCAGGGAAGCCGTTTCGATAGTGATGAGTCTTCCTGGTTGCTTGGTTAAGGACGATACCGTACTTCGTAATGCGCGCAAAATCACCTGAGAGGTGAGAGACAGGGCGAACAAGCGGCGATATCGGTAGGTCAACGGGCCGACTACACCCACGATTAACCACTGTAGTCTCTGTTAGGCCTAACGCGGGGGAAGCGTGAGGGTAACCATGTCACGTAGCCGAAATGCAACGGCGGCAGAGTACAAAACACTTGAGTGCGAGGTATAGTCCGACGCTAAGGTCGAGGGAGCGATGGAGGAAGGCGTGTTCAGGGGTAAAATACGAGGTGTGGGCCCGATAGTCATGTCGGCGGAGTGCAATGAACCAATGGGGGAAAGGGTGCTAGGAGCAGACTGCGACTTATAGTCCGATATGACGGTTTTGTCTTCAGATTCAATTGCTTTTCGACCTCCAGGATCCAGCTCCGTGAAGTTGACCGCTAAGTGGAGTAGGAGGAACGGAGCGGTGGAAGCGGTGTTAATGGGTATCTAGAATGCGAGGTATAATCCGATTTTCATTCGACTGCGGTGCGCCAGACTTTCAAACTTCGCCTTGGATAGTTGGAGTGAAAAGTGTAATTACTTTGGCCTGCTCCAGCTGGATCTCTACATGTATATAACGCTCTCCTCCTGCCTCCCTCCAGTCGTCCTCTATCTTCAGGTACTCGCAATTCCCATCCGTTTCGACTCAAGCAACTCTATTATCGCCTCAGAAGAAATTGTTCCCATCTGGATCACACAATTCTGTCAGCAACATGAAGTTCGTCACCCTTGCGGCGGTTTTCACTATGCTCATGGCCCCGATTTATGCTGGGCGATGTGACCAACTGCGTGGCACATGGAATGAGGCAGGGTGCTCGCGCTGTGAGCAGGCTCAGTGGCAAGGCAGTCTTTGCAACTCGTGCAAAACCATTCTCAGACAGATGAACGAGGTAGGCTTCAAATCACCTTCGACCGTTGAAAACGATATCTGCCAGAGTCATCTGCTAACAGCAGTTCTCCCCTGCACCTCAAAGCTCGGTGTAAGTAATTCGATGAGCAGTGTGTGAAACGAAGATAATAGGTATATTACACCAGGCAGCGAATGCTAACTTGTGCTTGTCCAGTGTGTAAGTTTCTTCCATTTCATGTTTTACAGCACCCATGATTGCTGACAAGCCACGCAGTAGAGCAATCCCATTCAAGATTTCCGAGCCTGGATTCAACGGATGCATCATGCGGTCTTCCTCACCTTGATCCTTGCCGCACATCCCTGGCATGGGGTATTAGATTGCGATTGTCAATGTGCGGTGTTTAGCGGAGCTGGAAACCATCGTCCGTTTGGAGGCAGACTGAGGAACATCGCGGTAGTTTGGGGTATCTCGTGCACCATAGGCAGGACGGACGGATGGAGAGCGGGAAGAAGCAGGGCTTCCAGGTTGTTGTTAGTATTGTCCATCAGACATTCCAGAATCCAGGAGGAGCTGCGACGGTCCCAGGTTCTACTCTGTCGCAGTATGTGAAACTAGTCATTAGTTATAAGCGGATCTAATTTCTGTGATGACCGGGCCATGGCAGACGCTGAGGGCAGAGTACTTTAGTAGACAATGTGATGATTTCCTGTCGGGTCTTCCATTCTATCGGCTTTTCTATGTGAGTAACAAGGCCTGTTGAGCAACAGGCCACTTGTGTTCCATGCCAGCTGGATGTCAGAGCCTCCTTGAGTGGCGCCAGGTAAACTCAATCAGGGTCATGACGTCAACATGTCCATGATCGAACCACCAAAAGGCGAGTCGGCTACTTTTCCCTGGCACAGTACTTATTGCATATACTCAAAGCGGCACGTTGATATGTCATTTGGTTTTTAGGAGCTGGCTCCCGTTAATCAAGGGCATTTGACTCGGAGACTGCACTTGCCGGGTTCCCCCTCTAAACCCTGATTTGCTTCCCGACATCAAGATTTCGAAACGGCGCAACAATGGCTTCAAGCGCCAGTAGGAGTTCAACAGTGAGTCCTCTCTTCTAATCAGCACACCACTGGTCTGCAGGTCGTAACTGACACGGTTCCCAGAACAACTCGTACTCTCCCCCCTTCCCGCATCCCGAAGCCCAACTCGGCGGCACGCCCACCCCACTTCCCGACGTCCCCCTATCAATCATCTTCCTGGCGCTCTACACCCTCGCCCTCCTCCTCTCCCTTCTTTTGCTCAGCCTAGACCACACCCTCACCCCTTCCACCAAACCACACTATCGCCACCTTCAGCTCCTCCCGTCCTTAGTCATAACCCTCCTCCTCACCCGCCTCGCCGCCCTATCCACCCGCCTAGCATGGGCCTACCAGCCGTCCTCGCTCGAGCTCGACATCGCGTTCACCACCATCTCGCAGGCAGGCACGATCCTCCTGCTGATCGCCAACCTGCTCATCGCGCGCCGCTTCTTGCGGGATTACACCCTGTTCGGGACCCACATCGCTGTCGTCCGCGTGGCGAGGGCGGCGATATTCTGCGCTGTCGTCAGTCTGGTCATGGGCGTCAGCGTGCACGTGGATGCATATTTCACCAGGGACGAGGAGACGTTGCAGAGGTGCAGGGTCATTGGGCTTGTGGCGTGGTGTATCCGGCTGGTGGTGGCTGTCGTGCCTTTGGTGGCGGTTGTGGTTGGCGGGTGGGTGTTTCCTCTTGTGAGGGAGGATGAAGGGGATAGGAGGAGGTTTCGCGCAAGGGGTGGGTTGATGTGTGCTGTCGGGGCGTTGTTGACGTTGGAGGAGGGCTTTAGAACGGGGGTTGCGTTCGAGGGGAGAGGAGTGGGTAGTCGGGCGTGGTTCTTGCATAAGGCATGTCTTTACTGCTTGGTGTTCTTGGTGGAGGCTATGATTGTGTATGGACTTTTGGCGGCCAAGCTTGATCCCAGGTTTCGGTCGAGGCCGAATGAGCTGGCCAAGCGCGATGGTGTAGAACCTCAGCGGGCCGAGGGGACGCGGTCTGGGTGGCTCCAGATTCACATAAATAACCAGACTGAGGTATTTGGAGGTAGCAGTTAGGTCCTGTGCGGCATGTCGCTTGACGGCATCGAGGTTCAGTTTGGTTTTGGTTCGTAATCAATGGCCATTACCCAAGTTCCACACCTACACCAATTTGAATTGGGCATTATTGTGGAAGCAATACTTGCCTTGAAGCCTCGAACAAAACGAGGCATACAGGGAGATGCTTCACAAATCAGCCAACAGCGACCACAACGCAGACTTAAGGGGTGGGCAAGCTATAATGCTCAACTGCCGCCCGAATCCGACGGAGTACCGCTTCATGTTGCCCCTGCAGAATAGGTGGCTTCTTCCTCCCTCTCATTTATCTAACGCTACCCCTGCCTCTTCCGGACAGCTAGGGCGTGCTTTCTCAAAGCGCCCTAAAGGAGGCGAAGGTTGGCCTTTTCAGAAATTTTGTTGTCATATAGTGGAGATGCTTCACCATTGCGACAACCTGCCATCTTGCAGATCACGAAAGATGCGCCCGATGAAAGCCAGAACGAGGGAGGGAATGCAGGTCAACTACCTTATGCAGATGACATCCATCCGCGCCAATGAAACCGGGGGCGGTCCTTGAAGTGTGAGTCTGACAACTCTCGGGGACGACGGCTACTGAATTCGGCAAGCAGGCGGGACAAGCGATAGGGTCAGAGATTACGGCCTGCGAACAGGCTGAACCGGGTTTTGTATATGTGCGTCTGACTGCGTTAGAGCCGAATGTTCGGATGCGGCCCCGGACCAGGTTAGGGAGCATCTCAGCATCGATGACCAATAGATCGTGCAGCGCCTCAATGTGCCGTCAAAAGTTCCATTTGGGCCCACTGCTACCTTCGGCCGATGGCCGGAACACATAGGCTTCCCATAAGCGCGGGAGCTGAAGCAAAAAGAGATCGACTACTCCTCTACGGGCCCCTTCGTTGTCTTTCTCGAGCATCCCTTTCCTCGACCCCAACGGCCATCAAAAAGTCACTGACGACGACCAAGAATCATGAAGCTTGCCTCACTTCTTCTGTGGACGGCCGCTGCTGTCACGGCTCTGCCAGAGAAACATGAACATAAGCCCGCCAAATGCACCAAACCGGAAAAGAGACGCTCTTGGTAAGGGCTAGTCTATTCAATTCTTGTCAATTAACACCACGTACATATCCTGTTCCCCTCCGCCGGCGCTAACAAGCGGTTCTAGGCACAACATTACCGACGCCGAGAGGAAGGCTTATACGTCGGCCGCCCGCTGCCTCCTGACCTCTCCTCAGAAACTCAACCGACTCCCTGGTGCCAAGACTCGGTGGGATGAACTGGTTTCTCTTCACCAAATCCATGCCCTGCAGATCCATACCACAGGCCAATTTCTGCCCTACCACAGGTATTACCTGAAGACTTTGGAGGTCTTGCTCCGGGAGTGCGGATTCATGGGCGTGATGCCGTAAGAGATATCCCCCTTCGCTCCCTCACATGATATTATCTCTGATTGTTGACATCCCGAGTGCAGTTACTGGGACGAAACCCGTGATGCCGGCAACTTTTCGGCCAGTGTCATCTTCGACCCCGTTACCGGGTTCGGCAGCGGTGGCGATGCGATTGGGGGCTGCGTGCCCAATGGCCCGTTTTACAACCTCACGGTGAACATCGGACCGGGGTTCGAGTCCAAGCCTCGATGTGTCAACCGTAAGATCACGGACATGTTCAGCGCGCAAACTGGTAAGACGTACGTCGCGGCTGCGCTCAACCACACCGACTATGCCGGCGCCCTCGACGGCATTTACTCCGGACCCCATCTTCTTGGTCATATGGCTCTGGCAATGATGGTACGTTCTGTATCCCCTTGTCGGCATGTTGCTTCAACTCACCAGTACCCTTCTTTTCTCTTTTCCTTTAGGACGGGAACTCCATCACCTCATCCGGCGACCCGTTGTTTTTCATGCACCACGGCTTCGTGGACAAGATGTGGGCGGACTGGCAGGCGAAGGATCGCAAGAAGCGTTTCAAGGATATCTCTGGGCTCAACGCCCAGGACCCGGCCGTCGGCTTCTCAGAGTTCCCAGGAGGCATGGAGGAGGAATCTGCAATGTGGGGGCATCCCAGCGCCGTCATCTTAGCCGTCACGCCCGATCCTCAGTTCGGTGACAATGGCCCGAACATCACCTTGAACCACATCATGTCTTCCTTGGGCATCATTCCCAACGCGACCGTGGCGGACGTGATGGACACGACGGGAGGCTACCTCTGTTATGAGTATGTCTGAAAGTTTGAGTGTGCTTAGGGGTCAATAAGTAAGGTAGCCTGGTGCGCATTATAGGGACATCAGCACTCGTCGTTAGCGATCTGTGCAGTCCCGTTCTGCAACTTTGATCAGTAGCCAAGACCGTCGTGCTAGATCCAGCAATGTGTGAGGTACGAAAACGATATGGGCACAAAGTTTGACCCCAGCCTGGAGACATTTGCGGTAGTTGGGTATTAGATGCCTGCTCTCCCCAAGAAATTGTATCCCGTCTTTTCGACAGCCACCAGCGTTTCCCGACAAGAAACGCACCCGGCAGTGAGACTTTACCTAGCTCGAAATACAAGAGTACCTATGTCATATATAGTATCGATCTTTTTGAGATGCTATGCCTGGAGTAATACCAGAAAGTTGGGCGTGCCTCTAGATCTGTGTTGGTTCAATACAAGTGAGGGACTGTACGCAAAGTGCGCAGGCCCGTAGAACAATCTTTGCTTGCCACGCAGTCGCTGTGCGATTTCTATTTTTGGCATTGCTGGGTACCTTAGATGCCAAGGCACGGCACGTGGAGCACTCTATTAGGCAGCAGTGCAGCACAAACGATGTTCGCAATCGCAGAGCTACTCGGCGAGCGGTCGGAGACCATCTGGCGGTCAGTTGGACTATAACAACAGGACCACAATGCCGGTATTCAACAAGGCCCGCAAGGCATGGAAAAAAGTTGAGGAATGGGCCAACGATGACGATGGGCGGCCAGAACCAGCTCTCCAGACTGAGGCGACGCTAGAGGCTGAGTCCCAGACTGAGTCCCAGACTGAGTCGCAGGCCAATTCCAGTGCTGAGCCCCCGCCCAGAGTCCCCTTCTGCTACATCAACAACAACAAAGCAATAGCATCGTCATACACCTACGTACCACTCTCGGCCAACATCAAGAGACCGATCCGACTCCTTACTCTGCTCCCCGGACCGCGCGACGCAGACATTCAATGCCTGCTCACTGATGCAGATCTCGACGGCGTCGGGAGGGAGGAGGATGCAGGTTTTGAGGCGCTCTCGTATGTCTGGGGTGACATGTCAAACACAACACCTATCCAGATCGGCAATGCTATCAGCGACATTGGGCAGAATCTCCGCAGCGCGCTGCTCCATCTGAGGTATGAGGACCGGCCCCGGACCCTGTGGGTTGATGCGGTATGCATCAACCAAGACGATATCGACGAACGGAGCAGCCAAGTCGCGTTGATGGGCGACATCTACACCAAAGCGACCCGCGTCGTCGTCTGGCTGGGCTGTCCCTGTTGCCTCCTCGGCACCGTCGGACCCGATCTCTCCTCCTACCGCAGAGAGGAGCTGAAGGAGCAGGTCGTTAAGGTCGAACGCCTCTTTATCGCCATCAAACTCCTGGGCCGGGAAGCGGCCGTAGTGGCGAAGGAAGGCCGTCAAGTCATACCCAAAAAGGGTGATCAATACGAAGACGGCACGTCTTACGAACTGATCCGCAAACTCGATCCAGATTGGGCGATGGTCTTCCTCGATAACCCCTGGTGGACCCGTGTGTGGACGCTGCAGGAGATCGTCCTCGCGCACGACGCGATCATGTGCATGGGCAGCGAAGAAGTGGGATGGGACTTCCTCCGCAGTGCTACCGCGCACTACATGGCCCTGGGCTTCGCAGCGTTCTCCGGGTTCTGGTTTGGGAATAAGACCAATTCCCGCCTCGAGCCGCTGAACATGGTTATCTCGATCAAAGAGATGCGACAGTCTGAAGCGGTGGTTGGCGGCGATGTAGGCGATGAGCTGCTGTACTATCTCGCATCTTCCCACTGGCGTGACAGCAAGATGCCCCACGACAAGATTTACGCCGTTCTTGGCTTTTTCGATAAAGACCGCCATGTCGGCATCGACGTCGATTACCGTTTCGCCCCGGCCAATGTTTACCACAGAGCGACCAGGGCTCTGATGGAACGATCCGGCAACCTGGACGTGCTCGGGTTCTGCTACCCGTTCAAAGTCCGCCGCGTCACCGACCTGCCGTCCTGGGTACCCGACTGGGGCTCAACTGGCAACCTCGCCGCCCCTCTGATGAACGACGCCAAGGGCAAGCTCCGCACGACTCACGCATCTAAGGGATCACGCTCGAATCCCAGATGGGAAGATGACAACATGACTCTGATCGTCCAGGGCCACATCGTCGACTCCATCACAAAAGTTGGCAGCGTGAAGCCGGCAGTTTTCACAGACGACTTGATTGAGGGGTCTGCCGACCATCTGCTTAAAGATCCCGCCGTGTTGGCCGCGGCCGAATCTTTTCCGGCAACGTGGGACGATCTCGACCCCGAGCGTCCGATCCGTCATCTCCTCTCAGAATATTGGAAGAACTTCAAAGCCGCCGCCCCCCTTGCGAAAAAGCTCCTGTCCGAGGTTATCGGTGTGGTCTCGCACAAAGAATGTTACATCGAGTGGCAAGACCTCATCGCCTCTGAACTCAAGGGCCACCCGGACCCCAACGTGGTTTTCCGCGACATCCTCACCACGTCAACCCCGTATCCCTCCGGACAGGCCGAGACCCAGCGTCGCTTCGAGCAGTGGCTCAAAGCCTTGTCATCCGTCCGGCGACTCAAGGGCGTGAAGCTGGATCGCATCTCGCCAGCCATGTTCAAGACGCTCGGCTTCGCGGCCGGGCTGTGGAAGGCCATGGAGGAGGATGAGGACTCGTTCTCGACGTACACGTTGCACACGGTTCGCCGGCGGCTGGGGATCACGCAGTCCGGCCGGGTGTGTCTTGTACCCAAGAGAGCCGAGGTCGGGGATGATATTGCCTTGCTTCGCGGTGGGAGGGTCCCGGTTGTTTTGCGTCCGAGAGCGGGTGGTAGGGGGCATATGGAGTTGATCGGGGAGGCGTTTGTCTATGGGATCATGGACGGTGAAGCGTTTGATGAAGCCCAGTGTGTTGAGTTCAAGATTGTGTGATGATAGATGGATGCTAAGGCACAGAACTGGATGCCAGTGGATGGATCCATCCACGGCGGGTCAGAGCTAAGGGAAGGTACCTGAGTGCACTTTCTCTCGAGGCGTTGGTGAGTCTCCCACCTGAATAATTTGGACCATCAACAAGGACGACCACATCACAACCATTTGAAAATGCTGAAACCGGTCTTTCCAAGAAGGGAATAAAAAGAAACAAGGGAAACACGAGAAAGGGGGGTGGATATTCGCAGTACAACTCCTAAATAAGGTAAAACAACTGCTTGTTCTGTATTTCCGGTTGCCACATTGCCAGGCCGACATTGCCATGGAAGCAGTAAGTAATACCCATTCTGGAGCAGCGGGCAGACTGGGGAGGGAGAATGCTCAAGGCAACACAAGGCTGCCACCTCGTCCCTGCGAATGCTTGAGGGAGAAATGCGTTCATGCCGTGCCTTGACGATGGGAGACTTGGCGATAATGTCTTCAGATCTAGTTTGGTTGATTCTCTCTCTACATATTTATGTAACTCACGTCGGGCATCACGGACCTCCACATTTCATCGGGCCAGCCGGTGCCTGGGGAGTGTGGGTTCCCCTTCCAAGCCGATAACCGCGCCGAGATCCGGTCGCCATACGACGACTGTATACTGGAATGGGGCTGACAGAGTTACTACGAGAATCTGTTGATGATCAGCACATATACTCTGTACGGTCGATCGAACGTTGTTGCTCTGAAATGCCAGATGGTGGCGCCATGGATGGAGCTCCGGAGAAGAGCTGAAATATTGGGGTCTACTCGGCAGGGCTCAGCTGCAGACCCCACACATTAGCGGATGACGTGCTAGGGCACGGCCCACAGAATGAGCAGTGCAGCCGTTTCACGCCTTTGTCTTTTTCCAGGTCGAAAAGATGGTGCAATGAAGTCCGCGGTGCTCACCACTCGTTCTTTCAGCGCAGCTCATTTCATAGCTCGCTCATCCCGCATCCCTCGATATGGCCATGGCCCCAAGTCGAATTTTAACCAGGCAAACAGCCGGCGTTACGGCTTTCGCCAGACAGTCTTTCAAGCACTCACCGGCCGCATATCGGAACTTCGCCTCTGTTTCGTCAACCCCTGTCTGCCCTGCTCGAAATCACAAGGTCGTCGTTGTCGGCGGGGGATCAGCAGGCCTCGCAGTCAGCCACCAGCTTCTGCGGTCTGGTAGATTCAACCAAGATGACATCGCCATCGTCGATCCAGCAGAATGGCACCACTACCAGCCGGGCTGGACCCTCGTCGGTGGCGGGCTCAAAGACAAACACGCCCTTAAGCGCCCACTGCAGTCCCTAGTCGACCCAAAATTCAAACTCTACTCCGACTCGGTCGCCACTTTTTCTCCAGAAGACAACACCGTCACCCTCGGCAACGGCTCCAAGCTCACCTACGACCAGCTGGTCGTCGCGCCAGGCATCAAGGTGGACGTGGCCAGCATCAAGGGCTTGCCCGAGGCGGTTTCCAGCCCGGACTCCAACGTCTCGTGCATCTACACCTTCGACACCGTCGACAAGACCTTCCCGACCATCCAGCGGCTGCGCTCGGGTCAGGCGATATTCACGCAGCCGGCGGGCGTCGTCAAGTGCGCCGGCGCGCCGCAAAAGATCATGTGGCTCGCGCTCGACCACTGGAAGCGCGCGGGCCTGTACCAGGCCACCCAGCCTGAAAGCTCGCCGATTCAAATCGCTTTCGCGACGGGCCTACCGGCCATGTTTGGCGTGCCCAAGTACAGCGCCGCGCTCGAGGCGCTGCGGCAGGAGCGCGGGGTGGAAGGCCTCTTCGCGCATGATCTGGTCGAGATCGACGGCGACACGGCCGTGTTTGCGCGGCCGGACGGCCAGGAGCCCGTGCGCAGGCGGTTTGACTTGATGCATGTGGTGCCCAAGATGGGAGCGCACGCTTTTGTCAAGAACAGCCCGCTGGCCAACGAGGCTGGGTATGTGGACGTGGATGACGCCACGCTCAGGCACAAGAAGTTTGCCAATGTGTGGTCGGCGGGCGATGCCAGCAGCCTGCCCACGTCCAAGACGGCGGCGGCCATCACTGCGCAGGCGCCGGTGCTGGTGGGAAATTTGCTCAAGGCTATGGAGGGCGGCGGCGAGGTGCAACCGGGATATGACGGGTACACGTCCTGCCCACTGCTCACTGAGTATGGCAAAGTGATGCTGGCCGAGTTCAAGTATGGCGGCGTCCCGAAGGAGACGTTCAATAGGATTGGGTGGGACCAGGCGACGCCTAGGCGCGCTTTCTATCATTTGAAGAAGGACTTCTTTCCGTGGGTGTATTACCAGTCGATGGTGAAGGGCACTTGGGGCGGGCCCAAGGGGTGGCTCAACTAATTCGGTGTCGGGACACGACTGGGATACCGTGCGAACCTCAACCTGGGAGTTGGCAAATGGGGATTTGACATCTATCAACTACCGTGTTTCTCCCACTTGGTTTTTATATTGGCGGAAACTGGAGACGGTGTGGATACCGGAGGCATGTTGCTTCCTCGAGTCAGAAGCTCCATCATTTTTCTGTTCGGGCACGGCTTCAAAAAACAACAATAAAAGGATTGCAGCCGGCATCCCATTCAAGACCAACACTTCTGTTCGTTGCTAAGCGTCATTTTTTCTTTGACTTGGACTTATGGGTTGTCAATGTCCGAGCTGCCCTGTCTTGGAAAACGGCTTCGCTGTGAGAGGATACCTACCGGAATCGGAAGGACGGGAAGGCACAACAAAGACAGCCTCACCATCGATAAGAACGCAAACCAGGACCTTTGAAATTCGAAAGCTCCCTTATCTCAAGCTTCAACTTCATTTCAATGCCGCCTCATTAACGTTAGCTCCTCAGCACTGCCCTGGTGCGACCCCTGAAACATCGAAGGCAACTAGATCCTCAACTCAAACCGTCCCCGAAACGACAACCAAAATGACCGGCGCAAACCCCGGTTCCTCCATAACCCCAGCAGTTTTCCGCCAACTCCACGTCAAACTCCCCACCGAAACGTTCCGGAAGACCCTTCCCAAAGAGTGGTGCGATAAACACCCTGACGAGGACAACACGAGCACGCCAACGGCTTCCTCCTGATACACAAATTGCGCCCAAACTACCCCATCGGAAAATCCATCCTCATAGAAAGCCTGGTAACTGGTGTGTTGGTGGTCAGAAAAGGTTCCCCCGGCAGCTACCCCTTTTTGAGCCGGAAGACCATGAGTTTGAGAAACCCGACCTCTATCACCGTGACTACACGACAGAGAATCCCAACGAGTTGCTCTTTTCATCACTGAACGACCGCGCGTCGAGGCCAGGCTCTCCTCAGCGCCGTACTTTCCTAGGCCCTATGCCTACGGTCTGGCCCAGGGAAAGAACCCCGACAAGATTCACCAGGATGACATGTTCTCTCTGTACTTTAAAGCATTATAACGGCGGGACGCTGAGCAACCTCATGGGGATGTACGCCGACGGCGATATTGGCGCGGTCATCCCGGAGTCGCTCATCTGGCACGTCATGGACCAGCAGGGCCGCGCGGTCCTGTCGATGCGCAAAGGCTGTTCCAACGACTTCATCGAGAAGGATCTCGGCGTCGACAAGCTGCTGAAGCTTAGCCGTGGCGAGGACGAGCAGCCCCATCCGTTTGATAAGTTGGACTGGGACTGGAAACCGTTTGCGCATCGCGCCATCACGGAAGACAACATCTTGCTGCATTTCCGCGAGGACGGCGGACCATTGACCCGCTGCTTTCCAGAGATTGTCCTCGAGGGTTTCAACAATGCGGGGTTTGGGAACGAGCTGGGTGATATGAATGCTATGTCTCCTGCCGAGAGGATGGCTGTGGTTTGGCAAGACCTGCACATGATCGGAGAGCTATGCTGTCGTCTAGTGACGAACCACGGCGCTCCCACACCCCCGCGACATGGCGACAAGCAAGCCGCCGCTGTTAGCCGGATGCTCTCGAAGTACCTGCCGGAGATTTTTACGCTGGCAGACAGGCAGAAACCGGCATATCCCAAGGAGCTTATCGAGTTGCTGGAGAAATTTGATCGCTTCAATCCTTCCAGATCCCAGACACAAGTTCAAAGTGCTGCTGCCAGCATGCACGATCTCGACCAGTTCTACTGGAAGTTCTTCTTCGAGTATCTTTCTATCGCGATGAAGCAAACGGAGCTGTTTCGGATTCGACTGATGAGGCTGGAGGAACTAGCCGGCGTGGATGGCGAGGACGGCGACAGAGCCATGGCCGTCGTCTCCTGGGTCAAGCCAAACCCAAAGTTCAATCACATCCCGTACCACCCTGGTGACGGGAACAAGGAAAGCCAGATGGAGAAAACTGAGAAAGAACATGAGGTATCTATTTGGTCCTTATACTCTCCTCCGGTACCGCTACTACGCCGTGGAGGTGTCTGAAATCCCTCCAGAAGCCGGGGCGGGGGGGGGGGTGGCTTGTATAAATTAACGGCCGGAAAGGCGATCGCATTCAGCAGCGCGAGGCTGATGATGGTGAGCATGATTTCCTGTGAGTGGAGCTGGAGCTGGAACAGCCGGTGCTCTCTGAAATAGAAGGGATTACTGACAAGGGAGATGGCTCTCTGAAATAGAAGGGATTACTGACAAGGGAGATGAATGGGGAACAGATGAACAAGCTGCCGCGGACCAGGGTGCCCAGGGCCAGGAAGCGGCAGCCAGCTCGCCCCTGCCCAACAAGCTCCAATTCAACCTGATCCCCCTCCAGTTTCCCCAATCCAGTCTCCCCAGGTTCAAGCTCCGCCGGTCCAACCCCAGACCCCGCCTACTGCGCCGGCTCAACCTGCCCCGAAACAACCTGCCCCGGTACAACCAGCCGCAGCACAACCCGCGCCACCAACCCCAGCTCCGGTGCAGCAAGCTGCAGCCATTCCTGCCCCGCGGTCGGGAGTTAGACGCTCGGCTCGGCTCGCAGGCCATGCAGCGCCGGCCATGTCTCCCCCTCCACCAAAGCGACGCCGCGACAATGCAAATGCGGGAGCAGCGGTGCGATCAGTGCCGGGACGACAGCTAAGGCTAAAGCCAAACCCACTTCCAAGGGGAAAGGGTAAAGGCAGGGCGAAGTGGCTGGGAGTTGTGTTGCTGGGTTACCTAAAACATGAAGAGTAAACTGTCGGATGAAAAGGGGGCGGTGTTGGCACCTATGGTACTATCGAGGATGGGTTATCACTGCTTAGGTTTGAAATCTTAAACGTCTTCTATGGCACGAGAACTACAGCGATATGTTAACGGGTCCGGTTGGAGCTTTCTTAGGTGTCCAGTGTCTCGCACTTTACAGTAACTTTACGTTTGTCTCCCCCCGCTCACAAAACCGTCATGTTGCGGCATGATGTGCACCTCTTCGAGTTTGTCGGTCACTGGCACATTGTCTCCGCGAGTCCTCAGACGATGAATCGCATCCCGAGAGTCTAAGACACTTGCATCTCTGGCCTGCCTGTCCCCGTCTCGTAGCCCATCCACCACTCATTCAGCCTTGATTTTGATGACGGCCTTGCCAAAATTCTTACCCTCAAACACACCAACCAGCGCATCCGCAACGTGTTCAATGCCCTCCGTAACGCTCAGCTTAGCCTTGACGCTGCCCTCGGCCAGCCACTGCGACAACTTCTCCTGATGGTCCTTCGTGTACTTGGGCCCAAAATCGGGATCGTGTACGATGAAGCCGCGCATCGTCAGACGCTTGGAGACGACGAGGAACAGGTTCCTGACACCGTATTTTTCCTGGTCCGGGAGATTGTACTGCGAGATCTGGCAGCTGTCAGCCGTACCGTTCTGATGTACCCAACTTACTCTCACGCCAAACTCACCATGCCGCAGGCCACGATCCTCCCCCAATCCTTCATGGCATCCAGCGCCGCCTCCAGATGCTCCCCGCCTACGTTCTCGTAGTAAATATCCAGCCCATCGGGCGCAAGTCTCTTGAGCGCATCCCTAGGCTTCTCCTTTTTGTAATTGAACCCTTCAAACCCCAGCTCTTTCGTGATAAACTCCAATTTCTCATCACTACCCACGCTCCCAATGACCCTTAATCCCTCCTTCTTCGCAACCTGGCCAACCAACTGCCCCACGGCGCCAGCCGCGCTACTAATGAAGATCGTCTCCCCCTTCTTCGGCTGCCCAATCTCATACAGCGAACTCCACGCCGTCAAACCAGGCATGCCCAACGGACCCAGAAACAACCCAAACTCCTTCAGCCCATGCGGATTCTCCACCTTCTTCTGCAACGCTTTTTTGACCCCCTCGGCGTCCAGCACGGCGTACTCGGCCAGCGGCAGCGCGCCAACCACCAGGTCGCCGTCGTGGTACGCGGGCGTGGCGTCCGACTTGAGCACGCGCGCGACGCAGGCGTTGGTCACGGGCGTGTCGAGCTCAAACGCCGGGACGTAGGAGCGCACGTGGGCGGGCCGCATGCGCCCGCGCAGGTACGGGTCGAGCGAGGCCCAGAGAATCGAGAGGGTTACGCCGCCCGGCGGGGGAGGCGAGGATGGATCGAAGCCGACGTCTTCGAGGACGATGTGCTCGCCGGGGACAATGGCAGCGGTGGGGATCTTTCTGAACATTAAGGTCTTGTTGGAAACGGGCGCCATGGTTGCTGGATGGTTGGAGTGGTGAAGGGTTGGTTGGCTTGAGTGGTGTGATGCGAGCTGGAATGGAGAGACAGAAACGGGTTGGTGATTTCGGCGAGGATACAATGCAGCGGTGGTCAAACAGACTTACTTGTTCTCTCCTGTGCTGTCACTCAATTGAAATAATGTTGTGTGTGGAGTGAGCCGATAGGAATTTGGCTCCGTTGGAATGGAGTAGAATAGAAGTAATGACGTTATACATGGAAAAGTGCCCCACGTCATCAAAACTTGAAAGTATCGTCGTTCTTGCCGAACCATTAATAACGTATGGGGTTGAGTTTGGCGCCAAATTCGGAATTGATATCCAAACGGTTTCGGAGTGTACAGTGGCATCTTCGCGTTATCCGCGGCGGAGGGGGTAGCTAAGTTAGATAAATGCTTGTTATCCCTAGAGTATCAATAGTCGTATGGAAAGAGTTCCAATTAGAAGCGTCAATGCCAGCCTGAGTGCTTCCCCCGCCTTTTCCCGCTAGGCTTCCGTATCATTAGGCAACTGAATGCTGCGGCCACTGAATCGAAAAGCGAGGCGGCGAGGCTGGTGTGCTTCAGATGAGCTCGCCGTAGTGATAGCGGCGGCTGACGTGCTGGTCGCCGACTCGGGCAAGTGGAACGATGAACTTACGCCATTCTTCGTCAGTTGGCATCTGGCCGTTGCAATTCTCCGGAATAAGCGCATCTGGCAAGCCAGTTCGAGTAGAAGTAGGCTGGAATCAGAATGACAAAGATGATATCGTGATAGGGTTGTAAGAGGTCCTTACTCTTCAGTGAACTTTATGTATGCTGCCAACCAGGGATTGGGTACAAGCGAGCTAAAAATGGCCGAGGCAGCTCAGACGTTGGTGTTTCCATTTCAGACGGCAGGACCGTGACCGGTGTCTCGCTGAAATTTGGTGTTGGTATGGCAGGCTGCTGTCCCAGATTCTCGAAGATGCTCTGCTGCCATGGGAATGCTTCTGTTTGACAGCAGAATGAAAACAAGTTGAAATCAGTCGGCGGAGTGCAACCCCTTTGAATCAGCTGGACGCGGTATGACGGTTGTGAACCGTTGGGTCGGATCCGGCTAGGCGCCGGAGATGCAATACCTTGGACGGCCATAAATGTCCGGCGGTTGTTTGCATTGGCAGAACAAGATCCAATGCCCATCATTCAAGGCGAAATAAAGGGACTGAAGCCGCGTCGTGCTTAGGGTGTGTGACCGTGCAAGACAAATAAATGAAAGCATTGGTAGCTCACTAGGAAATGCTATGTTGGTACAGTAGTATCTGTATCTTGTGTCGGCGGTCGACCCAATCATCCTGCGCACGCCAATATTCTCCGCACTTGTTTGAGGGCTGAGGCAGGGCTTCGGTAAGTCAAATTACAGTAATGAAACCTGAGCCCAGATTTGGGCTTGACTTACGTAGAATTACACCCATACTTGGATTGGGCTTACGATTTGATCAAATGCTTACGAACCCAATCAACTTCCCATACATTTCTACAACCCTGACCAATATTCCCCATTTTCTTCCACACAAAAAATTCTCAATATCTTCAAGACTCTGTAGCCCTCTGAAGCTGTCAACGGCTGGATGGCTCAAGAACGCAATAATTAACATTTGAATTTGTCAGTTTTGTTCAAGGCTGACTAAGCAACTGGGCCTAGTTGAATGGGCCTCCTGTTGGAACGTGAACCCTGATTCAGGGGTGCCAAGACGGACCCACATGTGGCTGGTGATAGACACCCTGGAGGCTGTCTGGAACATCGGACAGTTGAGAACACAGAACACAATCAACATCAGAAACAACCAAAAATTGACATCCTCGTAACACTCTGCGACCACTGACCATTTTCCCTTCGTTTGCCTCGTAGCGGTTCCGACACCTCCCAACCCTACCGGCGCGCTCTGAAATCCTCCCCCTGAATCTACCGACATCAACATCACCAACATCCCCCAGCCAGCGCCTCAAAAGCCGTCATTTGCGCCTGACTCTTCGTCTTGACTGACTGTATCTTAGGCCACATTAGCAGCAAATACCATATGTATAGTTTTTCCCAGCTTGTAAAATCAGACAAGTGTAATCAGAACCTTTAACTACCTACTTGCGAAAAGGGCGTTTGATTTGGACTTGCCTTGACTCACCTGGGTCTGACTGGGTTGGATTTGACTTGCTGGAAGCCTTGGTCTGAGGTTCAACAGCGGTGGATCATACCATGTTTGTCCGGGCATATAGCGAGGATGGCATGAAGCTTGCAGAATTGCACAGTGGTACAAGTTGCATTTTGCAATACCGTTTTAACGTTCACTTCCTCAATTCGTCCACCTCAACTCTGGTCTCGATCTGCCAATCAGACGGTCCAACTTCGAGGTTTTCTGGGGTTTATCAGCAGCTTGCACATACCAATCGAGCTTTTGCAGCGGTCAGATGAGTGGGTTCGCTATGTGGAGGTGGTCGGATTGAGTGAGTCAAAAGGGTATATCCTGTATCGCCGTGGCGTAACGAAGTTCCAATGTTGCCCGCTCGAACCGCGAGGTAGGGCCGAGGCGGCCAACCAAAATTAGAGCGGTGGCTGTTTCGGGCAACCCCACAACGGGAAGAACGGAAGACCTCTGTCGCTGTGGGCCTCGGCGCCGGTCAAGGACCCACCTACGTCGCACCGAAAGAACCAAACGCACGCTAGATCCCCTTACATGACTGTGGCGATTAACCGTGAAAGGAAACCGAGCACTGTTGTCCATGATGACTGACAACGTTCCTGAGGCCGGAGCTATAGTGTCTACGACACTAGTGGAGAGACGTGCGTGTTGAAATCCTCCTAGCTGCTATGTACCCATAGAAGCAGCATAGATACGGTAGAGTGAAGAATTGTCGTACTACATGGGAATCAATGTACGTACTGTGCCAGTCATGATGATGCCAGTTGCTTGAGTGCCTTGCTGTTGGCTTGAAACGCACTGGCGGCTCATCACGATGATTCCCTGCTCTGGGGAATGGGCAGACATTTTTCTACAGACACGGCTTGATGCAACGAATTGGGGTCCATAGTCCAGCAAGAACCATATCTTAATAAGTCGGGTAGTATCATGGATTTCGGTTAAGGATCGGCTCGGTGACGGATGACGTTAAACGCGTATATGGTTGACGAGTGGTTGAAGGCATGGTGCTGTATCACCGAGTGTTGTAACGTTACCAGGATCTCATGTTTCAAAGCATTGGTCCTGTCTCTACAAATATAGCACGGTTATCAGAATTTCATCATCTTTTCTTCATGTAGATGCATAGAGTTCATAACGTGAGCACAGACGTCACCTCAACTGACGGCTTTGCGCCGGCGTGAAGACATATATATAAGCCCAGTTCCCCTCATAGCCCTTTCCCCGGTTCTTCTTCTCTCAGAGAAATCACTCATCGCGTCAAATCCACTCTCTGAACTCTGTTTGAAGCTCTTCAAGAATCTTTTCTCGGTCTGCGGTCACAACTTCGTCTTCGCCGACCGTCTTCGCGCACTACATAACTCTCACGCTCAGCACTATCCACCTAGGTTTTCCTATTCAATTGTGTTCTATCAAAGCTTGACGCACCCCCATCACGGTCTCTGGTCAGTAACATGACGGTCACCAACAGCAGCTAGCAAGCCGCAGGCGGGATTGTCAAGCCCTGAGGGAGGTGAGCCGACAAACAGCCCGAGGCACAAGAGGCTCGATCCCGCAGCATCCGTACAGTGCATCTCACTACAAGGACCAAACCCAGGATTTGCTAACGCCCCAGCAGCACGATGCCTTCAGATGGCCTCTCCGCTCCCGGCGCCGACGACATAGGCCTGCCCGACTGGCTGTTCGGTCAGAGAAAGTCCGCTCCTGGCTCCCCGTCGTCGTTGTTCGACCATGGCGAGCCAGTGACATTCCTCCAGGGGACTTTTTTCGGGGCCTTTGCCGCAGCACATCCCACCCCTGGACCCGCTCCCAAGAACGACGAGGACAACCACGGCCCGTCCGAGGGAGACCACAACTCCCTTTTTAGCGAGGGCAGCAAGGCTCCGGTCGAGCCGCCAAGGGAGCAGGAGGGCGCCAGCCCTCTCGCCCCCTTGCTCGACCAGGAGCTCGTCCCCGGACTTCAACCCCCGTCGCTGCCGTCCTCGCTGCCCCCGGCAGCGGAGCTTGTCACCGCTCAGCCTCCCGCTGATGGCACCGTGGCGGTCGAAGCCGGTAGCCAAGTCGCGTCTGCCACAGCCGGCAAGAAGGAAGAAGCCAAGCCCGCCGGCTTCACCATGATCGGCGGGCTCAGCTTCCCTGTATTGCCCCTGTCGGTGCCAGCCGCAACCGCGCCATCCGTCCCTCGAACAGATGCTGTAACAGCGGCTGTTTCCACGCCAACCCCCAGGGAGGTGGGAGACGGCACCACCATCTCCCCATTTCAACCCCCGCTGCCGCTAGCACACAGCAGGCACGACAGCAGGCCGCCAGTCCCGGGCTCTACATCTCCAATCGCCAACGGAGTCCCCGTCCCGCTGCCGACTCTGCACAACTCCGTCCCAGGAGTCGGCGGTCAACATCCCGAGGAGGCCTCCGATTCGACTGGCAACCACAACGCCAACGTACCTGCTGGTGCCGGTGCTGCTGCCCATCAGTGTGCTGCTCTCCCCTCACAGTCGCAACCCCAATCAATCTTGGACATTGCAACGGAGGAACAGCGGAGTGCTGCTCGGGCCGGTACGGCCATGCATGACGGTGACGCTCGCTCCCCCGCTTCTTATCTGCCCCAGATCCATGCTGCCGCAAGCACCGCGTCTTCTCGGGCTCAAGGGTCACCACAGGGCGGAGGGTTGTCTCGCGGTGGGGGGTGCGCTAATCGACGTCGTATTGGTGGTGGGAGTAACACGACTGCCCCCGCCGCCGCCCGCAGGTCTGCTCCTCGTTCCCAACCGCCCGCTACCACCCCGGTGGTTGCCGCACCTGCTCCGAGCCGCCCAAGCCAGCAACGGGGCACAGGCCACACAGCAGCCCAGAATGCCGTGAACCAGCCCGATTTCCACTCCCAGCCAGCTCCCGCCTACTTCCCTTGCGAGGCGCAGGCTCACCGGTTTACGTTTGCGGCGCTCGCTGGTACGGCCAACGCCGTCAACGCTGCCCCTGCAGACCCCCGGCCGCTGGCAGGTTTCCCGTGGCCGCTACCCCGGGCTGCGCACGCTCACCTCGATCATGGGTTGGATCTTGCGACCCAGCCATTGTTTCCGGCCGATGCTCGAGTCCGAAGGATGGTAGCTGACGTTGCTGCTGCCTACCCGTACGATCTAAATCTCAATTGGGCGCTTGCGTGGCCCGTGCAATGGACAGCGTCTGGGCAGTCGGTTGCGGGCTACGCTCCTGCGGATGGAAACGCCGGCGGTGTGGGTGCGGCTCGTCGTCCTGCTGCGCAGCCTCAGTCGCAGGGTGCTGGGTATGCGCCGAATGTGACTCTGGCTCAGGGGTTTGGTGCCCGGGACGGTTTGTACGTGAATCCGACTGCGCTGCATCCTTCGCGTCCTGTCCAGGTCCAGTGTGTGTCCCAGGGCGGTGTCTTGATGGCGCAGGGCGGTATGGCTCGCGGTGGTATGGCTGCTCTGAGCGGTATGACGACGTCGGCAGGTATGGCTACTCCAAGCAGCAGACTAGGCGGCACGGATCCGGGCGGCATGGCAAACGGTGGTATGGGATTGAGCGGCAGGACTGAGGGCAGCATGGCTCACCCGGCCATCGATCCGCGACGTCGGGGGCTAAATCAACATGCTCAACGACCCGTTCAGGCCGCGTACGTTCAACATCAGGCTCAGTTCACCGCCCAGCAGGCTCCGGTCCGCCACCAGACTCCTGGTGTTCTGGGCATGATGCAGCAGCCCCTTGCACAGACGACGGCCAGCGCCATGGCTATGATGCGACCTCGTCACCAAGCTCAGGCGGACACGGGGTTGACTATGGGCGCCAATGCCACTTCGTTGTACCCCGCTGGCATGGGCGTCATGAGGCCCCATGACATGGATCCTGGCCATGGTATGATGGGCGGCGATGTTTTGCAGGGCGGCTTTGGCCAGGGCGGTATGGCACTCGGCGACCTAGCGCAGGGCGGCGGCATGGCTCCTCCAGGCATGGCTCAAGGCAGCATGACACAGACCAGTCTGGCTCCAGGGGGCATGGCAAGTGGCAGGATGACTCCGAGCGGAATGACAAGCGTCGGCACGGGAAGCGGTGGCATGGCACAAAGCGCTATGACATTGGGCGGTATCGCGCGACAGGGCAGCATGGCTCAAGGCGGATTCGTCCAGGGAGGCATCCAACGTGGCATGATTTATCGTCGACGTCTCGCGCAACGTGACATACTGCAGGGCGGTATCCCCCAAAGAGGCACTCAGCCGGGTATGGCTCTGACCGGTATTCCCCAAGGTGGTATGCCGCAGGGTGGAATGGCACAGAGCAGAATGACGCTAGGTACTGGTCCCTGGCCCAGCATGGCGGTGCCTGGTGGCCCTCGCGGTCCTGCCCAGTGTGCTGCGCACCCGCTACATGCCTCGCCCGTCGCTTTTGACTCAGCCGCTGCTGCAGGAAGCTTTCTGCAGCCTGGATTTCTTCCTCCTTCGGCAGCGCGGGACTCGGTTGCTACGCGTGCCGTAGTCCGCGGCGGGCCGGGTCATGCCGGTTTTGCGAGCCACTCTGTCGAGTCCGCTGCTGCTGGGGGCTTTGTGCCTTTCGCCCCTTTCACGGGCCAGGAGCGCGTCCCCGAATTTCAACCCTCGCCGCCGCCGCCATCGCCGCCGACGTTGGCTTTCAGTGCCCCTGCTCAAACTCCGATACGCCGCCGGCACCACGACGGCCAGGTGGCCGTGGAGCCGCCAGCTCAGCGCCGGCGAGAAGGTTGAGCGGTCAGGCCAGGAGTTGACGAGTTTTTGGGTCTGAACCATCGTTCTGGGTGAGTTCATGACACTTTTACATATCAATCGGCAATGGGGCGGGCAATGTCGCGGGTTGGTCAAGATGGGCTCTGTTGGGCTGCTGTGAAATCCAGTTGGGCTTTCAGGGAGCCCGCAAGCGCTATATTAGTCGGGATTTCGAGGGATTTCGGACGCTGATGGCGGTTTCGGTGTGCATTCGGGCACGTTCGTGTCGGTTTTAACGACAGCAAAGGCGGGATAGTCTGGGCGAGCGTGAAGCGCATTGGGTTGTGGTATATGTCGTCATGCTGTGATACCATGGTTGTGATTAGATTAACTGGAATGTTTCGAAATGTTGTATTTATCCCAGCAGAAATTGCCTTTGTTCAGGTTCCCTGTGTGCGTGCACTTATCTCCTGGGGTTCAAAACAAATCTCGGTGGCAAAGCAGAACTTGGGTGTTCCAGATGGTCACTGGTCGTCCGTGGATGGAGGAAGCGGGTTTTAGACACGGTACTGGCTAAGATGTCGACATACAGGTAACATATACATATCAGCGAGCGGATCACTCTAGCAATTTTCAGTGGAGCATACATCCGTACCTGTACATGATGGGACAATAAGAAATTGTTAGATCGCACTAACGTTAACTAACGTCAACAATTTCTTAAGGTCTTATTGCATGCACCCCTACTAAAATTTGCTAGAGTGATCCGCTCGCTAATAATATACGTTACCGGGCGAGTGGCTGTGGTCCCTTGCAATATGGATATCGAGATCCCGTGCGGGCGAAGAGGCAAACGTTGTGTAATTTCGAGTAGAAAACAGGGTCAGGAGGTAGGTACAGTACTTGAAGAAACAAAGGTACTTTGGGAACCCAGGCTCATCATAGAGCCTAGCTAAAGAAGATACGTAAATGAATACTTCTCGGTTTTCGGGTTCCATTCCTGCCTTTAGGTGGTTTCTACCGCTCTATTTTCTGGCTCCTTCACTCAATCTCGTCAAAAAGCCGCCGAAGCCCAATTTGTAGCTCAGTATTCCAATCACTAAGTGTAGGAAGAGCCCATGGACGCCACAAAACACCCGCCCCCCTTTTCCCTAATCATCCACATTCTCTAAACCTGTGCAGTGAGTCACCCGTTCATGATCCCTTCCCGTCCTCTCCATTTTCACTTCCAGTACACATCCATCCAGAACCAATTCCCCGGATTCACCGCTCCTGCCGCAGTCCTCCTCACACCCCTCTGCCGCTGCCTCGGCGGGTTCACATGGTGATGCAGCCCGTCGCTCGGCGCAATTGGCGCGTACCGCACTTTCGCTGGTGCCTTCTTCACCTTATGTGGCTCCGCTATCACGACATTTCTCCCAATCTCGTCGTACAGCGCGCTCTGCCCGTTGCCCTTCTTCCTCTGCTTGACCTTGTCAAGCTGCAGGAGGCCCATGCCGCGATCGCGGCTCTTTTTGTTCTTCTTGTGTTTCTTGCTGAGTACGTCTTCAAAGTTGTCGTCGTGGTCGTGATCCATGACATCGGCCTTGGTGGATTGCCTGGTCTCGAACTCGCCTTGGACCAGCTGCGGGCTGCTTGTGTTGACGCGGCCCACGCGCACCTCGTCCGACTGGTTGATGTTGCCGAGCTCGACGTCGTCGCTGTTCTCGGCCTTCATGTTCTTGCGGCCAAAGAGACGGGCGAAGAAGCCTGGTCTTTTGGCCCGGCTCTGGGCTGTGTTTCGTTTGTTGGCTGTCTTGACGCGCGCGAACAGGCCTCGTTTCTTGCGCGGCTGGGCTATGTCATCTTCATCGAGAACAGGGTGGGACCGCCTAAGCTTTCGCTTCCACCTGAAGAGCGCCGCGAGGAAACATTTTCTTTTGCACTTCTGCGTAATATCTTCTGGACTGCCATCTGGATACCTGCCCTGAGACATATCGTTCTGGTTCTGGTCGTTGCCTATGCGAGGGGATGTCTGGATGGGGCACTCATAGCCGCCGTTCCAGCTCTGGCCCCTGTTGTATCCGTGGTTGAAGGAGTCGGGAGTGTTGGACCCTCCCATGACGTTCTGCTTCCGTTTCTTGTGCCTGAACAACCTAGCAAAGAAGCCCGGCTTCTTGGTTGTCTGGATGTTGCCATCCTGAGAACCGTTGATATCCGGGCCCTGGCTTTTAGACTTGCCGAAGAGCCTGGCGAGAAGCCCTTGCCTTCTCTTGGGTTGATCGAGACTACCTTGATGGCCAAGGCCGCCGTGGTGACGCGAATGGCGCGAGTTAGCCATACGGTCGCTACGCTCTCCCATTTGGTCATCTGTGTCCCGCTCGCGGTGCCCGGTTTCAGGATCCATGTCCTGACCCATAGTAGTGGCATCAACAGCTTCGGGATCGTGCAGCTTGGACTTCTTGCCCCAGAAGAGTTTCGCGAGCAATCCCTCCTTCTTAGGCTGCCCGGCGTCTGGAACAACATCTGGATCCGCCAAGTTTCCGTCAATGGGGTGGCTATCGTCTCCCATTGGAACGTCGGGGTGCATTTCGAGGCTTTGAACTTCGGAGCCCTGACCCTCCTGAAGTCGTTGTCCGTCCGGCTGCTGCTGCTCGTACCCTTCAGAACCCTGCTTTGTCTTCTTATGATGTAGCAGACTGAACAGCCCCCACTTGCCTTTCTTTCTGTACTGTCTTTCATCATCGGCAATGTCCTCCAACTCTCCGCTTGGGTCGGCATCGCTGCACATTCCTTCTGTGGTTGCTTCTGTCGGGTTCTTATGTCTGAAGGAACCCGCTGCCGAGTCGTCATCAGCAATATTGTTCCCGTTGGAATCGTGCTTTGGCATCCTCGACCCAAACAAATTAGCAGCGAGGCCTTTGAAGCTGAAGCCTGAAGCCTTGATGTTTGCGGCGTGGTACTGCTCCTCCAGCGCTTTCATTCTCCAGCCCAAGGTGGCAGTCGTCATAAGCGGCAGCAGCCATTGGTACTTCTCGTTCTTGCGTACCCGACTCGTGTTGTGAGGAACAGTGCTGGTGTTTGCGAAGCTATGCTGGTTATGGTCCGCATCGTGCGTACCAACCATCTCCATGGGCTCATTCGCCTGGTATGGTAGTCCGTCATCCGGGTAATGTTCCTGTCGAGAGCTGTGCTCGGCCGGCAGGGCTTCATCCGGATCGTAGTATATTGCCTGTGCTGGTTGAGCATATCGGTACTCATTGTGTTCGGGCTCAGGCTCTTGCAACACATCATGGGAGGCCCCACGAACAGTACCAAAGTCGCCCTGATGATGTGGAGCTGGAAACTCCGGGAGTATATCGTCTTCAAAACGGTCCTCCTTAGGAGGGGTGAACTCCCCCTCATCAACGGGTTGAGATGCCACGACCTGTGCGTCGCCGCCAGCAAGATCATTCTCGAAGGGCCGCTCCTGATACTGGTCACTTGGAGGCGGGAAATCATCCACTGGCCGACCATCGAAGCTCTCCTGAAATGGCTGCTCTTGGTACCCCTCGTCCGGTGCCGCCATTTCTTGGCCATCGGGTACGTCAAAGTTCTCCTGGAACGGAGAGGCTCGGCACTGGTCCTGAGACGGGACCATACCCTGGTCAGCATGGTCAAGTTGGTTCTCGCAATCCTCCTGTGATTCATCAGATAGTGTGGGGATCTGCATTGCTTGCTCATCCCCGGGCTGTGCGTTGAAGTCAACGTCGACCTCAGGTTCCTGGAATCGGCCATCGGGTGGTGGCGTTGCCTGGTCGTCGTGTGAATCGAAGCGATCGTCAAACGGCTGCTCTTGCTCGTCGAACGGTGGAGACGACCCTATTCCCTGGCCGGAAAAGTTGTCTACCTGAGGCGGCTCTTCGAATCGATCACCGGGGTTGTCGCCTGGCAGCACTTCCTGAGCTTGCAAGTTACCATCATGAGGGAGCTTTTGGTCGCTATAATTTTGCTCAGGAGTCGACTTCTGGTACTCAGCGTCGAGGGCGTCTTCGCGAACATTGAATCCGTCCTCCTGCATGGCGGGCAGCGGAGAATCATCCTCGTCAGGGGGCGGTGTCAGGGGTCTGTACTCGCTGCCATCGTATTGCGGAGCTGGGCTCAACGGTTGATTGTCCATATCATCCAGCGGCGGTGTGAGCGGAGGCCCTGGGGACATCAGAGTTTCGCCAGGGGTCGAGTCTTGAACAGCGTGATCCTGAGAGTCCGGCATCAGAGCGTGACTGTTTCTTTCCTCGTTGTGTCGGGCCATGTCACCTTGAAAGCCATCTTCTCCTTCCATCCCACGCCTAGGAAAGCCATCCCCTGCAGGATCACATTGAAGGGTGTCGTCAAACTTCTGCACATCGTCGGAGCCAGGGTGATCAACGCACCGGCCTAGGTTCTCTTGGCCGGCATCGTCGGCCTCTGCAGGCAAATCGTCCCCTGGCTGACCCTGAAAACCATCTTGAACAGGAGTTTCCAAAGATAGCTCGGAGTCTGCTGCAATTGGGAGGAGATCGTCTGGCTGAGCGGAGTCTGGAAAAACTTCTTCTGGCATTCCCTCATCCAAAAGCTGTTCTGGCTCGGAGGCATGAGGCACTAATTTCTCAGCGAGGTTTTCGGGCACGTTATGGTCATCGACAACCTGGTCTTCGGAGTCTGCCTGCATCTCTGGATCGGGGTTGAAGCCCGGCGCGAACTCGGGCTCGTTCTCACCGTGGTCAAAAGAGTCGTCACCATAACCCTCTCCGGAGTACAGTCCAGCATCTTGTTGCTGGCCTTCAACATCCGTTCCACGCTGGTCATTGAAAGCCTCCGTAAGCTTTTTTAACGGCTCCTCTGAGACTGGCGGCTCCAAAGATGCTTCTTGATCCTGCTTCTCATCGAATCGCCTTTCACTGTTGATAGGCAGTTCCTCGGCGACTGTCGACTCCTCAAAAGGTTCAACATCATTCATAGGAGAAGGCTCGTCAGAGGTAGTAGTGTCATCGTATTGAGAAGGATCGTTGTCCTGCACCGGGCCACCAAACCGCGCAGGCTCGTCAAAGCCTTCCGAGCCTTGTACCGGCTGATCATCCAAAACCGGGGGTTCTTCATAACCGGGATGGTCGTCGAGCCCTTGTTGCTGATCAAACCCTCGTTGGTCATCGAACTGAGCAGGTTCGCTGTCCGGCACCGGCTGGTCAAGAGGAGGAGACTCGTCAAAGCTCCCGGCGTCTTGTACCGGCTGATCATCAAAAGCCTGGGGTGCTTCATAACCAGGTTGGTCATTTGACGCTGGTTGGCCGTCGAATGCCGGTTGGTCGTCGAATGCCGGTTGGTCGTCGAATGCCGGCTGGTCGTCAGAACCATCTTGCTCATCGAACCCCGGCTGATCACTGAACCCCTGTTGTTCATTAAGAGGTTGGCTGTCAAACTGAGGCTGGTCGCTCATAAACGGTGGCTCATTAGGCGGTGGTGATTCTTCAATGAAACCGCTTTCGAACGGTTGTTGGTCCAGAGCCGGCTCCTTAAACGGTTGGCCGTTTGGCAGTGGTTCATCAAACGACTGGCCGCCTGGCGGCAATTCCTCAAACGGTTGTTCGCCTAGAAGCAGCTCGTCAAAATGTTGGTCGTCCGGCGGCGGTTCCTCAAGCGGCGGTTCCTCAAATGGCTGGTCGTCCGGTGGCGGCTCCTCAAAGGCCTGTTCATCCACCGCCATATCGTCATCAAGACACCGCTCACCGTCTCCTGCAGGCATGTTTTCTTCGAACGGGGGCTCTCCGTCAAAAGGGGGGTCGTCAGTAACTGAAGGTTCCTCTTCCGTCGGGGGATCACCGTCTAGCGGTAGTTCTTCGCTCAAAAGAGGATTTTCTGGTTGAGGCTCTCCATCAAGAGGAGGGTCTTCAGTAACTGGAGGTTCCTCTTCCAGCGGAGGATCACCATCTAGCGGTAGTTCCTCTCCCAAGGGAGGTTCTTCTGGTTGGGGCTCTTCGTCCAGGGGCGGGCTCTCCTCCAACAATGGTTCCTCATCTGCAGGAAGCTGTTCGTCTATCTCGGGATTGTCCGAGGGCGGAAGATCCTCTTCGAGTGGCTCTTGTTCGTTCGAAGGGGGATCTTCCAGGGGTAATTTCTCGAGGCCACGTTCACCGTCGTTGATGGGCTCCTCCTCGAGGTTGACACCTTCGCCTGTTTCCGCATCAGCGAACTGATCTTCCGGCACAGCACCGACAGCAAGTTTACCGTCGGCAGATTCCCCGTTGGCGACTTCATGACCACCTTCGCCTTCAGGGAATTGGAAGCCATCCCCAGGAAATGGTTCACCGGCATTAGCAAGGCCAACTTCCCCGTTGCCGAAGTCGTCCCCTGTCGTCTCACCAGCGGTGTAACCACCAGATGGATATGCATCATCAACGCCGTCACCGTACCCGTCTCCGCCAGAATCCACCCCGTCAGGGAAGGAGCAGTCAACGTAGGTGTCTTGGGGCTCTCCGCCGTCGCAATATCCACCCCTTCCGTCATCCGCGAAGCCGCCGTCTGTCGGTTGTTGGCCAAGTTCTTCGCCAAAACCGCGCTCACCCTCTCCGGGGAACTGATTGTCTGCATATCCTTCCTCGGGGAATCCACCTTCGCCAAACTCGCCGTCGCCAGCTTCTTCGGGGAGGAACTCACCATCAACAAATTCTTCGTCGACAGCCTCAGGTTCACTGTCAGGGAACTGCTCCCCGTCGGCAAACTTGCCCATGCCGTCAATGGGCTCTCCTTCGCCTAGCTCACCCTCGAGAGGTTGTTCTTCGATGAAGTCTTGCCCTTCGGCTAATGCTTCTCCCTCGGCAAGCTCTTCTCCTTCGACAAACCCACCATCGCCCTCGATAGGCTCGCCGTCGGCGAACTCACCTCCGTCAAGATCACGTTCGCCATCAGCAGATCCGTCTCCTTCGGCGGGAAGGGCGTCCTCGCCTTCAGGAAGGAACTCATCCTCGCCTTCATCAGGGGGGAATCCTGCTTCACCTTCGACAGATTCGCCTTCTTCAGGGGGTAAGTCATCGTCTTCAGGGAGAAACTCGCCGTCTCCCTGAGCCGGAAACTCTTCCTCGCCTTCGGGCAAGAACTCTTCTGCTTCGACACGGACTTCTCCCTCTTCTTCAGGGGCGAATTCGTCACTGAAGCCGCGTTCGCCATCCGCCGGCATTTCCTCCACCATCTCGGGGTCGACCTCGTCTTCCTCGGCTACTCTCCCCTCGGGGAACTCACCTTCCTCCAGGATACCCTCATCGACGAACTCCCCTTCCCCAGGGACAACTTCCTCAGCAAATTCGCCAACATCGACCTCCGCGGGGAGAACCTCGGTAAACTCGCCCGGCTCAGGAGCCTCCTCGCTAGCGAATTCGCCGTCGTCAGGACGCCCTTCCTCTGGAAGTTCGCCCTCCCCAACCGCTCCCTCATCAACGAAGTCGCCCTCCTCTCCGTCAACGCCACGTTCGCCTTCTTCGCCGTCAGGGAACTCCTCGTCGAGAGCTTGGCTTTCAGCGTCGAGGAAGTCGTCCCCTACCGACTGTTCTCCTTGTTCGAGGGCCGCCTTGGCAAGTAGCTCTTCTTCCTCCCCCTCGGCGGGCGCATCCTCATCGACACCTCGCTCACCCTCTTCAACATCACCCTCCTCAACAAATTCGCCGTCAGGGACTTCATCATTTGGATCAAGGGGTACATCCTCAAGGGTCTCACACTCCACTTCTCCACCCTCCTCCTCTTCAGCCAACACATCCTCTCCGCCAAAGCCCCTTTCAAGTTCTTCTTCCCCGTCCAGATCTTCAAACCCACCCTCATCCCCGTTAAACATCTTTTCAAACGAATCCAGGTCCAGGTCTTGGACTGTGTCTTGGTCAATGACCTCGTCGGGTTCCTCCTCATCAGAATCCCACGACGTGTCGTGTCTCATGCCAGGCGGGTTGAACGCTGCGGCGGCAGGGGTATCGAGGATGGCAAAGGTGTTGCGGGCGACGGTGAAATGCGTGTGGTCAACGAAGGGGGGCAGTTCATCCTCATCTTCGTCGTCCGGGGCTTCCTCTTGGGGGTATTCCTCTCCGAGGCCCAGTTCACCATCGTTATGTTGTTCTGGGGCATCAGCTTCCAGGGCGCCCTCCTCAACGCGATTGGTGTCGAAAGTTTCTTCATCGAGCAGATCTTGGGTGTCAGGGTCTCGCTTGTCGTCATTTAGTGGGCCGTTCTCGTCTTGACAGACGTCGGAAGCGCCTTCGCCGTCCTGGATATTTTGGTCTTCAGAGCATGTTAGCTGTTACGCGCCAAAAGAATCAGGCGGGCGAGGTATTGCATGCCTTCCTCTGGTAGGGGCTCCTCGCCGTAATCCAAGGCTTGTACTCCGTCCTCATAATTATCGTCAAAAGGGGCCTGGTCATATGCGGCTTGGTCATGCTCGAGTCCGTCCCCCCTAGCAGCCGGCTCGAGTTGGCCAGAGTTCTCCCCTCCCTCGGGCAGTTCCTCCTCGTAAGCGGGCGTATTGTAGTACGACCCCAAATCCGGCTCTTGATCGTCATCAAGCACCATGCCGCGTACAACCTGCGTTCCATCGAATCCTTGGCCGTCGTCGTCCTCTCCGTAATCACCGATGGTGAACGCACCAGTTCCCAGGGTCTGGTTATCCGGGTGGAGGAATAGCTCCGGCTGAAACCCTGGCGCCGTCTCTATATCGCAGGCATAATCATTCTCCTCCGGAAAGGGCGTCAAGCCGGCCGAGGGTGGGGGAAGCGAGTGGTCATGGTGCGTGTCCATGACAAGAAGGGGCACGACGAGTACTTTCTTTTCAGTTTTCGAGACGAAGTTTTTGTCGATGCAGGGGTTCTCGCGTCTTCGTCTGCCGTTCTTCCTGGTGGCGTAGCAGTCGTCCTTGGTGTGATTCCCGTCGGCGCAGTCGCGGTGCCACTCCAGGCTCCAGTGCCACGGTCCTCCCTCAGCAACGACTCTCCCGTTCCATATCCCAAGGTAGACCCAGGACGGGCTGATGACCCAACTGTCCTCGACAAAAGGATCTCCGCACTTTCGGCACTGCATGTCTTCCCTGTAGTCTGAAACTTTGGGCGCAAGAAATCCGTTGAACGGCCCCTCGCCGTCAAAAGAATTGATGTGCTCGCAAGTGTTGCACCGCCAGAATTCGGGTGTCTGGTCAAACTCGCCAACGGGGCGGCGCTCAACCGTCGCAATTTCGCGCGATCCGGAAGAGTCGACGATCATGCATGTTGAGCATCCGCCAAAAGGGTGGTCGCATTCCTCGCAGGCATCGAGCGGCTTGAACAAGCTGCAGGTCGCCCAGCACCTGCAGCACTTCCGCCTTCCGGGCACGCCTGTCCTTTCCTCCTGGGTGAAGTCCTCTGGCGGCTTGGCGACGGGAAGGGAGAACAGCCCGCGCACAAAGGATATACCCGGTGCTTGTTGCACTTCGACATTCTCGTGGTGACCGCACGGCCAGATGTACTCAATCAGGTTGGCGGGGCGGTTTGCTGTGCCCATGGTTGCTGCTGCATCTGAGAGGTTTCTATCCGATGGGCTGCGACAGCTACAGATCCTCAAATTTTGTGTGATCGTTCAAATTGGTAGGTGAATCAGCAATCCGGGCTTCCAGAGTCTCAATGACTACGACGAAGGGATGTGCGTTCGATCCCCCAGACTGATTTAAGGCCATTGCACCGTCTGAGACTTCTTGGATGACGATGATGGCCATCACGGCCAGGCATCCGGGTGGTAGCCGCAATTGAAACATTGCTGGCGACGCAAATAAGACCGGTTTCAAAGCAGGAGACTGGGGCTGCCCGCTGGGTCGACGACGGCTTCAAGGTGATCTTGTTGGCCCAGAGTCGGGACCTCGGGCGAACGGCACAGCGGCAGAAACCCTAACCCTCAACCCGCAGCAATCGGGAACTGGACCGGCATCAGAATGTCAGTGCCCAGTGTCAGTGTCCAATGTTGGTGTCCAAGGCCTTTCGGCTTTACCCTGCGATATGAAAGACACCAATGTTCTTTGACTCAATGGAAATTTTGCTGAGTTGTGCCATCACAGGGGCGACACGCGCCGTCTGGGTCGTCACCGTTCCCAGTCGTACGAAGGCCACCAACCGACGGCTGTTCTGACGGGCAACGGGTCGGCCAATCCTTCCAGATCGGTGGCCAACGTTTCGACCAACCTGGGTGTGCATGAGCATCACCGTCGTTTGTCCCATCATAGTCCTTCTCGAGGTTGAAACGCGGGACTGGTCGTTGCCTCGTAATTTTTGTCGGCGTTTCTTTGTTTTGAGTTTTTTTTTTTCGTACGGAGTACATCCGTACGGATTATTGTGGAGAGTGGCTCCACAAATTGTTCACAATGTTCAGATTCTTAAACTGTGCCCACTTCGGTTTGCTGGCTCGCCGACATCAACGTCATCCACATCGAATCCCCAAGGCAGTTAGACATCAATCAGTCTACCACTTCGACGCTTGGTACTACTTGTTCATCATAAACGCGGACTTACATTTCTGAGAGGACGTAATCCATCCAATCTCACCGTCGAGGCCGAGCGGCACTGAATCCTGATCTCTTTGTCCTTGAGCCAGTCGCAGGCTGCAGGACCACCGACCACCTGGAGCTGACGATCGATTCAACCAAGACAATGTCTTCGTCCTCGCCGTTTGTCGAAACTATACTGGCATGTAGCGTTGCTTATCACAGCTTGAGTACGGCTGTCTTCGTGATGGCCGAGGAGGCTTTGACGTTGGCGAGTGAGCATCGCATGCAGTTTGCCCATCAAAGTTCCCTGTCTGCTGAGAAGGGTCCATAACTGGTAGCCATAAGGACAAGTACCGCACACTTTGAACAACAACGAAGACTTGGAAGTAGCATCAAACCTTCTTTTTGGTGGGGGGGGTTGTTCAGAAATGGCTGACTTTGCAGAGCTTGGGTCGCGTGTTGAAGACGTTTTCTAAGGTTTCAATGGACGTCATACCCGCTCCGTTTCTTATTACACCGTTTCCCAACATACACTCCCCATCCATACCGCCGTATAACCAAACATCGCCTTCGTGACTGTAAGCTCCATCAACGCGTTCACAGATATTATCTTGGCCAGTACGGATTACATCCGGCGGCATTAGCCTGTAAGGCCGACCACCGGCTTTTGCATAGGGGACGTAGGATCTCGCTCAGGTGTGCAGATATGGGACATTACCCTGATCCTTACTGATCCGTAGAAAATAACAAGAGAGGTATCTTGGATTGATGTATATTATAAGGATTCGAACAGGTGGGAGGACATCTAGCGGACATCATTCATTTAGACGCATGTGCGGGCGAGAAACACCAAACATCGTTGACAAATAAGTAGTTAACTTAGTTAATCATTGATTACAATAAAGTATAGAAGATAAACTTGCAAATAGGGCAATCACTCATTTTGACTCGCCTGCTCACCTAGCACAAAAAAAGCGTTGCGTGCTGCTTACTTGTTGCCATTAGCGCGAATTCGACCACAAACACAGTGAGAAATAAACTAACGTTAGTTACAAAATCACAAAGTGACACACACATAAAGGATTCATACAACTTCACACACCGCCTGCACCTGCTCCAAGCCCTCCTTCACATGCCCAAGTTCTTCTGCCACACGGGCCCTAAACTCCGGGTCACGCTCACTCTCAAGCGTCACATGTTCGCTCCTGACCATGTCCAACGTACCCTTGGTAACACCCAAATGCTCCTCAACAGCACTTCGCACATCATCCTCAAACCGAGAAGCCAGGTCCTCGAACTCGCGCTTCAGTTTCTGCATCAGGTTTTTGAAGTGCGCTTCGTTGCGGAGCGTCCCGTTGATGATGTCTTTTTTGCGGCCCCAGCTCCCTGAGCCTGTTGTGAGATTGTCGTGTTAGCCGCTCCGTGAACGCGAATCTGACGCTAGCATGTATCTAGGGTTGGAACGGAAACTGACCAGATTGGCAGATTGCGCTCCAATAGGTGGATTCCATGCTCTGGCCGAAGTACGAGGTGCGTAAGCCCGAGAGGGCGTCGGTTCGGAGTTTGCTGGACACGGTTGTTAGATGTCACCGCCAGGAAATGGGCGCGATGGGGAAGTCATCAGAGAGGCCGCTTCGGTCCCAGCCCAGGGTTACCATGAATTACCTGAGGTTTGCTTCAAATTTTGCGCTAAGGTCTTCAATGGCCCGGACATGGAGCCGATTGCTGGATTGCAGCGCAGTCCGAAGCGGGGCAACAGTTTCGGGAACGGCGCCGAGCGCATTGCCTTCTGCATAGCGTTTTCAGTCAGTCAGTGGGTGATACTCTTACAGAGAAGGACTTGCACCAAAGATCTGAGACTGGTACGAACCAAAATGTCGAGCAACAGCCCCTTCTAGCGTCTCCAAGTCAAACACACGAGCGGCCTCAAGTCGGCGCTGGACTTCTTCTTTGAGGTGGCTCCATGGCTCGGCAAGATCGTCATTCATTGACCTCATCGCTTCTTCATTCCAGCAGCGATATATTGCCGTGAATTTTGTGATGTGGGCTCCATAATGTCTGCAAAATGCAGCGTATGTTTCTAGAGCGGCTCGGGAGTCAGTCACAGTTGCATGTCAGTATCGCTATCAATCATAGGTTTCGACCCACGGTGAGGCCACTGTAGAAGCATGAAGTCAGTATATGCCCCACGGTAGAGAGCCGGAGTATCGGTAAAAGAACGGGAGGAGACTTGGGGAAGGAAGAGAAAGACTTACGCCTGCCCAAACTTTCCCAGCCTGGATGGCCCCTTCAGTCCATTGATGAATTTGCCGCCCTGGCGGTTGTTAGAGTCGGGGGCGACGGGTTACCGGAGATTTTGGCGGCCTTGGTTAGCTAGGAGAAGCTACTCACTTTGGTACACAACTTCGCTAAAAGCATCTGTAAGCTCGTGAGCCAGTTGGTTGAGTGGTGATGCAGCACCGACGAATTTCTATCAGGTTTATGAGCCTCTCAGTTGTGGTCTCCGGTGTGTCTGGCCTGAGAAAAAACTTCGCTTACACTCCGGAGCTGATCCTCAAACTGGTCCAGAGCCTCTCGGATCACGCGTTTCTTCTCCGCGTCGGCAGTCCCCGCTCCTGTCCGAACCCAGAGCTCAACCTTGCTGAGCAGATTAGGGATGTCGTCTCGCAGATAACGGGTGGCGATCCGGAGCTGGCTCTCCGAAACCAGATTCATGCAATACCTCCGTATGGTGACAATACCGCTGAGCTCGAGGAATGTGGTAGCGACCTGCGGCGGCCTTAATTCACGATTGTCCCAGTAGAGTGTGTTGCTGGCGCAGAACACGTGCAGGTTGCCTCCCGGTATCATGTCTCGGTAGTGCGCAAGAAGTTGGGTCGCCACTGTATTGTTGCGTGTGGTGATCAGGTATCGTCGGAGCCTATGAGTGCAGGATCGGGTGAGCGAATTCCGCGAATTGGTGTGGGGACATTTACTTACTCAAATCTGCGGTTTTCAATCTCGCCTCTGCGATATCGAAACGTTAATCATGGACATTCGCAAGACGATGCTCAACGAGAACATGCCTTGTCCGTTCACGTTGCCGAGACAGGTCAGCTTGTTGTAACTGCTCCTCCACGGTAGGATCTTCAAGATATTCCAGGTCATCCAGGCGCTCAATCAGAGCAGCGAGGTGTTGCTCTGCCTCGGCTACGGAGCCACGCAATCTCTGGATTTCCGTCGCCCGGGCGCCTCCCCAGTCTCTTTGGGCTTCATCGGCGCGGATATCCTGTATGACCATAAGCTTGCGGGCTCTGATGTTTGTTTGTAAGGTATACAAAGCGACGTACATCGGCTTTGGTACAAATGATGCCGACATTCGACAATCTTGCTTGACGAGCCAGCCAGAAGAGGTACTGCACGCCACCGTCGGTTGTGGCGCGTCCAATGGGACACACCACGAAGATCTCATTGCACTCACGGATATAGCGCTCCGTGATGTTTTGCCTTGCCTTGTTTAGGTCGCGGAGGCCTGTGCACAGGAGACATTGGTGAGAAAGTGACGTGGGAGAGAGGGCCAGTTAAACCAGACACATACCAGGAAGGTCCACCAGCACGAGACCTGTGCTGAGGATGTGCGCATCTAGACCTACCCTGCCATTGTTAAGTTAGCTGCCTATATAACGGTACTCACCTTAGTTGAACGATTTCGAACCTGATCTTTTTGATATAGGGCCAAACGCCTGGGCCCTCAGCGCCATCACGGTCCGAAGTAAGCCGCATCAACAGGCTAGAGCACTCTTTCTCCAAATTCGTAACTGTGTGTCGGTAAACATCGTAAATATGACGCAAGTCCATGGCCCAGTTCAAGTACGCTTCGACGATGTTGTCATCCGAGTCGTCCGAGCGAAGCACGGCAGTCGTAAAGCGGTCTGTAAACATGGCTCTGAAGGTGTCTTCAGCCAGCTGGGCCCTTTTGGCCCAGTCTCGTCTCTCGTCTTCCGACTCCATCTCCTGCGCGTGGAAGTGGTTACGACGATAGGCGTGCACCAGGTCGCGGAGCTGCTGTTGGAGTTCTTCATGGGTGAACCAGACCACGTCGATGACGAAATCGGCACGATTGTGGTAGTAATATTCGGTGACGACACACGTGCAAGCCGCTCCGCCGTTGCTCTGGGTGTTGGAATTCAGTGTCCTTGCCTTGGTGTAATTTTTTACGGGGATCGCAGAAGCGGCGAGGATCCTCACTCACCGTCCGGGCCAGATTGTGGGAGTCCAATAGGGAGTTTAGCAAACTGCTTTTGCCTGTTCGGACAGACCGATGTCAGTTCTTGGTCACCGAACAGACTATGGTCGGAACAAATGGCTTTGCTTCATTACCAACTCCCGAATCGCCAACAAGACCCACGATCCGGGACTGGGGACACCGAAACTTGGCCAGCTCGTCGGCTTTGTCGCGCAGAGCCTTCATGGTGGAATCCGGGTTGAGATGCAAAGCGCTGCTCCCGAGTACTCTAGCTAGCCGGCCCATGAGGGACTGCGCCTCAACGAAGCCCTGCTGGAATGCTGGCTCGTGGAACCGGTCTTGCGGTGGCGCCTCATCTCTCACATTGTACCGTCGCTGATGCATTGAGGATGAACGTCTGCGCCGGGAACCCTGAGATGCCGCCGAGAAAGTGCCAGGCGAAAGGCGAGGGGTCTGCTCTCGACGCCCTGATTCGGCGCTGGGAAGGATGGCCTGCGCACTTAACAATCCCGGTGCCAAGGACGCAGAGGGGCCAGTAGAGCTGCGGAGCTGGAGCTGTTGCAGACGGTCCCCGATATCTTCAGTTTCCGCATCATGCGTTGCAGAAGGGCGGGCAAAGGCGTGTTCTGGAAACCCCTGTGCCGGCTCGCTGTTTCTAACGGAGATGGCCGGGGTGGGGGAGTGCACTGAGCTAGTTTCGGTCGTGCTGCGTCCATCTTCTTCGACAGACGGGATTGGTTCGTCTGGCACGGGTGCTCGACTGGGTTCGGCACTGCTAGATTCACCGTCAACTGGAACAAGGCGCTTTCCCTCCTGTCAGCACAATACCCTTCGTTGTACTGGGCTATGTTCAATTCTCAAGCGGCCAATCCACAAATTCGCAACAGCAATGATGAACCGGTACGAGTGTGTGGTAGGAGCCGGTTAGAGAGAGGGGTGTTAGAGGATCGCTTACTCTTCTGGCCATGATTGGTGGGAGGATGACACTAGCTGACGTCGAGCACCAAGGGACAACAGGACTCTAGACGGATGGTGAATTGGAAAGATGCTTTCGTTGCGACAGGTGACTGCAGGCCGTAATCCTCAAATCAAGTGCCAGTGCTAGGGTAGAGGAGGACGCTGAAGCAGTCGTTTGCTTTAATATATTATCTGATAGGCCCAAAGCGGAGGGAAGACGAAGGAGGGTATGGGAGACCTGGACAAACAGGGGTTTTGTGAATAAGTACGCCTCGCTGCAATTCTCGCACTGTCGAGTACTGCGTGAAGCGCCAACCGTCCACTTGGCATGCACCACCAGGGCTGGTGTTGCCGCCTATTCTTCCCGGCATGTTGGTGATTGCACAGCCATAGCCGCCTCGAACTTCACCGTGACGCATAATGCACCTATTGAGAGGCCATCGGCCGTTCATGCTGAGGCATCCGATGATTCATGGGCCACACGCGACACTCAGTGCAGAAATCGAAACACTATGCAGGAGCCTGAGGCTGGGGAACATGGTCCGCTGGTCGCGACGAACAGGGCGGCAGCATGCAAATGGTAAATCGAGCCGAGGAGGGTTGCAACACTAGCCTGCCGGCGGGCTTGTTGGTTCCAGAGGAATGCGGTTTGCCCCGTGATTGGGTGTCAGGTAGTTGGCCCCCCCGAGAGCGGCCAGAATGGGCAGGACCGCATCGATGGTTGATTCAAGGGTTGCTAAACGGTGGGAGACACACAGAGAAGGACACGCACAGAGGAGCGAAGACGTCGACTGTGGTGGGATGTGTGGTTGTTGGCGGTCTGGTGGAAGCTAAGCTAAGCTCGTGGAAGGAGGGAAAACCTGGGGCAAGGTGGATGGATGGGATTTATTTCGCCCGGAGGCACGAAGCCTAAAGGGCCTTGGCACGCTCACTACATCCGATTCGTTGACGTTCGGTCATCAACTCGTACAAGCCCTCTACTCTCTCCCCTTTTCTCACGCCACCTGTTGCCTCTTGACTTAGTAGCAGATGGACTTGGAGGCTGCGTTCTCCAAGTGTTCAGCGTCCTATCTTCAGCAGCTAAAGCGGGATCTGCTGGCTGAGGCTGCAAAAGTCATTGGCGAGTGGTTTACTCTCGTATGGAACGTCATGGCCAAGTACGGCATTGTACCTGACGATGTCTACAACTTCGATGAAACCGGGTTCATGATAGGCATTATCTTCGCGGGTATGGTGGTTACGACCTCGGATGGTCGTAGCAGGGCCAAGCTGGCCCAGCCTGGCAACCGCGAATGGGCAACGGTAATCCAGGGAGTCAATGCCCTCGGCTGGGCCATCCCTCCCTTCATCTTGGCTGCGCAGTACCACCTCGCGAACTGGTACACCGAGTGCAACCTCCCGGCCGACTGGCGTATCGCAACCACCGACAATGGCTGGACTACTAATGCGGTAGGCCTGGAATGGATCAAGCACTTCGATTACCACACGGCGCCCCGGACAAAGGGCAAATACCGGTTGTTGATCCTCGACGGCCATGAAAGCCACCACTCGACCGAATTCGAGCTCTACTGCCAGGAGAACAACATCATCACACTCTGCACGCCTCCGCACTCTTCCCACAAGCTCCAACCACTCGATGTTGGCTGCTTTGGGCCGCTGAAGCAGGCGTACGGTCGCCAGATCGAGGACTTGATGCGAATGCATATCAACCACGTGAGCAAGCTCGAGTTCCTCTGTGCTTTCCGCGAGGCTTTCTTTGCCTCTATGACGGAGAGGAATATCCAGGCGGTTTTGCAGGGGCTGGTTTAGTACCATACGATCCAGAGAGAGTGCTTTCCAAGTTGGATGTCAAGCTTCGTACACCAACACCCACGACCTCACAGCCTAGCACACCACAACCTTGGGTCTTCCAGACACCCCACAACCCCCAAGAGGCTAATGCACAGTCAACGCTCATCAAGACTCGCATTATCAACCATCAAAACAGCTCTCCAACTTCAATGTTGACTGCCGTGGACCAGCTTGCCAAGGGTACAACAGCTATAATGCATCGAGTGGCTCTCCTCGAGTCAGAGGTCGCTTCGCTCCGCAAGGCCAACGAGGCACTAAGCAAGCGCCGGAGAGCCAAAAAAACATGTGTACAGCTTGGAGGATCACTTACTGGGGAGCAGAGGAGATACTAGGTCAGGGAGATGTTGGTGGAGAGGGAGTGCAAGAAACGCAGTTGGGAAGTAGTGATACAGGAGGAGGTCGTGCGAGGGTTCGGTGCTGTGGTGTGTGCGGTAAGCGCGGCCATAATGCCCGCACTTGCCAGGAGACTGTAGAAGCATCTGATTCAGCTGTTTCTGATGTAATTATAGTTGGTTCCTAGGGTTGTTGTTTTGCAATTGAGGATGGCGTTTGTAGGGTAGTAGAAAGTGGCCCACTCATTGATATGGCCCACTCACTGATAATGTACGTTATACTAATTGAGATTTCTGCCCAAATCGTTTGGAGTCCCCCGCCCATCTTGCGACCATTTATCAGTACTTGCGAGAACGAGGGACGAACTCGGTTGGGTGTTTGGGCAGTATAAACAATTGCTTCTTGTGGGTAAGTAGCTGGAATCACGTCGGCGGTTCCCAACTTTCTCATGGACATATTCGACTGGGGCTAGAGATCCATGACACTAACGGCTAATGAGTTATTGTTTGAAGGCTGATAGCCAGTCTAAAAACGAGCAGCATCCATTTCACTGTTTCAAGAGCTATATCTGTGGAAGAGGAAGAGGGTGACCTGGGTTGACCAGAGGATGTGTTGGAAAGCCAACAGAATTTGCCGCACCGTAGTAATTGGGTACCAAAAGGATGGGCAGCCACTCAATTGATGATGATGTTCCTGTCTGTGTTCTTTCAGAAGTTCCCTGCCTGTTCCTGATCCTGAGAATCCTGGTGCCAAGCCATTAGTCACCCCTGAACTGCCCTCTCTGACCACCTGCCAAATCCAACAGGATGATCAGGTATTCCGCCGAGGCCGGAATTGATCTTGATGCTGAGATGGTGATGAGAGGTCCCGCAGTGAACTAACATATAATGTCGAACTCTGTTTGGAAGAAGGCTGAGCTGGTCAAGGGCGCCGCACGAGATCCGGCTTTGGAAGTGGGTTCAATCTGAAGGGCAAGGTGCAGGAGGACGCCAATGAGATATGGCTGTGGGAGACTGAAGTTGAGTCGGAGCAGATCAGCGCTGTCAACAAGTCAAGTCTACCAAGTCAAGTCTCCAAGTCAAGTCAAGTCAAGTCAAGTCTTATTTCTCGAGACTTGTCAAGTCAAGTCGATGCACCGACTTAACTTGACAGACTTGACACTAAGTAGGGTTAGGGTATCGAGTAAAAAGTAAGTCAATGTGGGGTTAACTAGCCCAGATTTTGTCCCCGATTAAAACTCGGAATATACCGAAAATGGCATTTTACCCACTCTTCTGGCCCTAACCTACTGCGACGCGTTGCCTGTCGCGTCGATCACCTCCTGGTCAAGGTGGCTGCGCGCCGCTGCAAAGCTCACCCATACTTCCCGTTTGCAATCCTCCCGAATGGCTATCGTCGCTACTAACGATGCCGCACGCGCAGCTCTTGATTCTGACGACATTTCCATTATGCCGAACATCGACTTCGAGAACCCCTTGCACCTCAACGCGTTCGACGCGCTCGGCCGTGCCAAGCGCACCAAGAAGAGCTGATGCCAAAGCCATCACCGATGTGCCCCTCGATCCGAAGCTATACCCGAAGATCCAGGGTCCCGACAATCGGTTTTACCACCTCCGCGCGCATTTCAAAATAAAGGATGGACCTTCCTGGGTCAACGCCCACGGTATGTTGGACAGCAACAGTTACAGGCTCGAATAGGCATAGACCAACCAGGTGACACTGCATCAATTGAGGCACAAGATGAAGCTTGAATTGACTGTCTGAACCATGCGTGATGTGTGTGTGTTGCTTAAAGAACCGAGGGCTTCGGGACCCTCGCCAGACCCTGCTTTTGGGTGGGTGACGAGTCTTCCACGCTTACTGCATTGGGCAACAGTGCCCAGCCCCTGAATCCAGGTGCCAAGGAGCCAGTGCAGTTCAACAGCCTTCCTTCTCGAGCCTTCAATCTAGCCTCAAATACGCCATTGACAAGCTCGAGAAGTATCTTGACATACTAGATGAGACCCCTGCTTATTGGGCAGCTCTTATTCTGCACCCGGGCCGCAGGATGAAGTGGGTGAAGCTGTTTTACGAGGGCAACGACAAGAGGATCTTAGAGATTCAGCGGCGGTTTGTGGCCTACTTTGATGCGCACCACCCAGCAGTCGAGCCCGCAGCACGCCCATGCACCCCGGTTCAAGTCCATGGCTTTGGAGATAGCTTCTATGATGCGCCAGTTGCCGGAGGTATTATAGATGAGGTTGGGGAGTATCTACGAGGGCCTGTACACCCCGTTGACAATGCAATACAATGGTGGTTGGCCCGGAAAGACCAGTATCCACGTCTCACGAGTATGGCGCTCGAAATACTCTCGATACCCCCCTGCGCAACGGAATGCGAGCGGACCTTCAGCCTCACTAAGCTCACGATAGGGTCACAACGACACTCCCTTGGTGATGGTACCCTTTCAGAGCTTCAATGTGTACGAAATTGGGCGCGGGAGGAGTCCGTTGGCAAGGTTGTGGCCTTATGACAGGCTTGGTGGCCCAGTTTTTGTAATTAACTGGTGTTCGGAATAACCTTATCCGAGCCTTCTTGGCAAGTCTTCCAAGTCAAGTCAAGTCGGGGGTCGTTCAAGTCAAGTCTTGCACAGATTTGTCAAGTCAAGAGACCGCCAAACAGTTTCATCGTGTATCCTTGTGAGCTTTTGCGGTCGAGGCTGATGTCGGCAAATGATGAATCGCTCGCCGTGCGCATGTCGTCTTCTCCTCCGAATTGGAGTGCTAAATGGCTGGTGCGTTTCAAGTAGAGGAGAACGCGGTCGGCGACTGTGTGGTGAATTGGTCCTCCACCCGTCAGTTTGTACTTGGCTCGAAGCTGCTTCATCGCTGCTTCGGCCTCCTTTTGTTGTGACTTGTGGTACGCGAAGACAATGTCGTCGACGTAAAAGAAGATGATGACGCCGTTCTTGGTGAAGCAGCAGGGTTCGTGCGGCACGACCTCGAAACCAAGGCTCTGCACCGTTGACGAGAGCTCCCTCTGCCAGAGCAGCGGTGATTGACGAAGGCCATAAAGTGCCTTGTTCAAGCGGAGGAGTTTTCCAACCTCGCGGTGTCCTGGCGGCATGCGCATGAGGACCTCCCCGTCGATCTTGGCGTTCACGAAGGCGTTGACAGCGTCGAATTGCGTGAGCTCCAGGTCGAATCTTGCGGCAATGGCGATGAGCGTGCGGAATAATCGTGCTGCGAGCGTGGCAGCGTAATTGCTTTTCTTCGAAGTCCTTCGGCTGTTGGTCTCCTCGAACCACCACTCTTGCTTTCGTCTTCAGGAACTCGCCCTTCCTGTTGAACTTGTACACGTAGACCCAACGACAGTCGAGGACTTTCGTCTTGCGGCCTCCCGGACCTCTGTCGTTGATCACGGTCCACGAGTCCATCTCCTTGTGACTTTGAAGGTGTTCGAATTCGGCCTGCAGGAAGAGATCTCCCATGATATGGTCAGCCAAGTCTTCATGACGTTCTGGGGGAGGCGGTAATTCGCTCTGTTTGATGGGAATCTTATCCCGAATTCTCTGAGTAATCTCCTCCTGGGAGAGCTTCTTTGCTTGCGGGGCTGTATCCTTCTGGACACGTTTCGCCTTCCGCATCTTGCGTTTCACTGCCACCTTGGTGGACTTGGTTTTGTTTGCCAATGTGACTTGCCCAGACACCGTACCCGCGTGGAAGGAAGCCCACCACGTGTCAGTATGATGAAAGGGTTTGTCTGGCCACCACAAGGGTGTCTTTTCATCCTTCCTGCCGAACATTGCGCCCGCCAGCATCGCCGCAGGGGGAGTTTGAGGTGGCGTAGGGAAGGGTTCGAATCTAGCCTCCGTATAGACCTTCTCGGCCCCGGATGACGTCTCCCCGCTTCCGGAAGGGTTTCCACCTGTATTCATCACAGGGGTTATTTCAGTTGGAGCTTCTTCCGTTGCCATGCGGGCGTCCCCGTTAAACAACTGCTCCCCGATGGTAGTGCCTGGCCAGTGCTCATCGGTCATTTGACTGTCTGCACTTGCGTGGCGGGAGTCACCCGTAATTGGACTGTCTGCACTTGCGTGGCGGGAGTCACCCGTATTCTGACTGTCTGCACTTGTGTGGCGGGAGTCACCCGTAAAATCGTCATCAGACGAACCATCCTCCGCGTCTCTGACATCGTCAGGACTTTCTTGCGGCAGCTGGCGGTGTTCATCACCCCTGCTCTGCGAGAGATCAAGTCTCTGCAGTAATTGATGGATTTCTTCAATGCTCATGTGGAGAGCGTCCCTCTGTATGTCATCAATCAACCCTGTGAACACCTCGTCTTCGTTGAAGGTCACGTCTCGGGCTCGGATGATCTGGTAGCGAGGGTCAGCTTTTGGATTCCAAATTTTGTACACGTTCGTTGACGTGTATCCCAGCAGGTACCCGAGCCATGCTCGTGGGTTGAACCGCTGTAACTTCTCAGTGCCTTTCTGGGCAGCTGCGGTCATGACAAATGCCTTGCTTCCAAACACTCGAAGGTGAGAGAGATCTGGCTTTCGACCGTGAAACTCTTCGTATGGTGTCTTCCAACCAATCCTTCTGCGCGGCGTGCAAGTCAGGAGATAGACTGCTGTCTCGCCGATGTGCTTCCAGAGTTGAGTCGGAATGACACATGGAGGTTCATTGCGCGTATGGTGTTCTTCGCCACACCCCCCGAGCGCTCGGCGCCTCCGTTTTGCTGCTGGGTGTTTGGCGACGAGGGCTCTTGCTTGATGCCCTGTGCATCACACCATGCGC